TCTTATTATGCGGTCGGCTCCCGGACCGGTCGGGTGGGGGACCCCCTGACTTACTACAATAACCTCGCGCCCCTGGTGGATATCGCTGGGGACGACGAAGCCGGTGGCGTCAGGTGCACTGGCAGGCGGGGTGGCAGCGAGGGCTCTGAGGGCTTGGTGGTTGGGGCATTCGTCGATGGAGAGCCCGAGTATCGCGCGGCCGCTCTTGGGGTGTCGCGGGTAGTGCGATAGGCGAAAGAAACGGATCATAGAGATAGATGCCGCCATCGTGTGTGTTTCTGTGGTTGCAAGCCAGCGTGAGTAATCTGGTGGGGCTTGGGAGCGATAAGCGCTACAAGCTGCATACCTCGTTGTTTATATAATGCCTCTGTCTTTGGTTGATGCTGTGTTCCCGGTCTCAAGGGAGAACAAAACTGAGCCAAGAATAGCTCGACCGACACCGTTGAAGCCGCCGAGAACAAAGCGGGTATGTTGACGTGATGGTCAAAGGGATGACACAAGACGTATGTATATATGGAAAAATGAATACGTTATGGCGTGTCCAGAGTCCGAGAGTTTAGAGAAGACTGAGTGCTCCATCCCAATGGACAGGACAACGTCAATATATAGTGGCCATGCCGACGGTTCAAATAGCGTCCGAGCCTCATCGCACAGACCGGCAACCTTAGTTTTGGAGCTTGGGCATGAACCTTACGTTCGCGCCGAGCCTTGGATTCGGCAAATGAACACTTAGTCCGAGATATCCTTTAAAGACCAGTCGTGGAACCAGGCTCAGCGCGCTTGTAATGTTCGTCCAAGTTCCATGTGGTGTGTTGACTGCAGGTTCCGCGCATATTCTGCAATGTATGAAGCGTGGGTCGATATCCTCATCCGTCCTACCCGGCTGCATCTGCACCCTCGAGGAGCGGAGGTTTAATACGTTACGGAGCATGTTTCGCATCTTAACGGCCTAGCTTGTCTAAAAGACGTGGTCTTATCGCGGCGATGTCGACGGTAAATCTAAGTTTCTGTCAGATGATTTAAACCCAACTTTCCGGATGTGGGGAACAGTTGTTCGGAACTAACGTGTTGATAAGGATGGAGATCATAACTCATAGAATACCAGGAATATGATGACAATATAATTAACGGACGACACATCAGGAGGTATTCCAATGGTACAATAGTCGGCCCGTTGTGGAACGATAAATCATGGTGATGAATAATTATGACGGCATAAAAAAGAGAAAAGAGAATTCTCCCGACGAAGCTCGAGTCCCTAATGCAGGCATCCATGGTAATGCCGACAGAAATCGTCATATGGTAAGGTTATCTCGCTCCAACTCATTTCATACGCCGACTTGCTCAATAACAGCCTCACACATACTCAGCCGTGACCGAGTTGTACCGTTGGCCGTTGTACACCAGTGTGTACTGCGTGGACGCCGACAGATCTATCGCGGACTGTATGTGAGCAACTCTTATCAACGTCCTCTGGGATAGTCTTGGGAGGGAGGCGTGACTTACAAACTGCCTCAATCTTGCAGTTTAATTCGTAGTACAACTGCCCATCATTCCCCTTTCGCCTTTGCAGCGAACTCTCCGGGATGTGCCCCACATCCGCTTCAACATGGCACAGCATGGCGACATTCCCATTCCTCGCCAGCGGTGCATCTCGCGCCGTCCGATCTGCATAGATATCCATCTTGATTTTTTTTATCCTCCCTTGCGATACGGGACCGGTCCACACGAAACTGGTAAAAAACGGTTCATTCTCCGACACTGCATCGCCTCGTCGGATGAACCACTCCATCGTGTACACCTTCCAACATCCGTCCAGTCCGCACCAGTGCTTCTTCTCCCTCAGATGAGAGTGCAGCTTTTCATCGTACCGCACCCGCCATTCCGTCCCATAATGTTTTCGGGCACGCCGATTCTGCACACGGACGGCGGTGAGCTGCTCAGGTGCACTGAGGGCGAGGCCCTTCATCACGGCGCCATGGACAACGGCAAGCCAGGCGTTCGGAGGTTGCATGATTTGGATAGATGCGTCGTCAAGGGCGCCGCGGATACGCTCTTTGAGATAGTTTGAGGCTCCAAAGCCCCCGACAAGGAGGACCGCCTTAATGGGAACCTTGGAGGTGGTGATTTGGTCTTTGACCAGCTTGACAACTTCTTGTACCACTGGTTCGAAGATCACACGGAGATCGGAGGCCTGGAAGTACGTAATCAGTAACGGTGGTATTACGAAGGTTCCCAGGCAGGAGAACGTGACAAAACCCGGCCTACCTTAAGAGCATACCGCCCACGGCTGATTCCAAGTTCCTTGTTATTCGCAAGACCCCCCACTGGAATGGTGTATGTCTCGTCGTCACGAGCGCTCAGTGTGAATTGACGCTTCACGGATTTCTCGAACCGTTCCATCGCATCGGCCAGGACTTCATCGTCAAATCCGTCGACCTTGCCCAGCTTGGCCTTGAGGAACTTGGCAAATCGCATGTTGAGGAACGTGGACCCACACAATGCACCGGTACCTGGGGTCGCCTCTTGGACTTCGAGGATCGGTTTGAGGCTGGTAATGGTGTAAGAGATGAGGTCGACGGTACCGCCCCCGGCATCGCAAATAACGAAGCTACAGTGTCAAGGTGTCAACTTCAGATATTGGATCTCGCGTGACCACCAGCAGCTTACCTATCGTTTGCCTGCAAGCCATGCGGGTCTAACCCATGCAAGGCGTAGATCGCAGCGGCCTCGGGCTCTGAGATCAGATGGATGTGTGCCTTGGTGGTCGACAATCCCTCAACCGCCTTCTGACAGGCCTGCTTTGTCTTGTCCTTGGCCAAGTCACTCCATATGGCCGGGACAGTGACGACAAACTCGAGGGCCGTGTTCTTCACAACGCCCTCGCCGAGCTTCTCTCGCAGGGTGTACGTTAGGTGCTCTCCTAAGGCAGACAAGTAGTCTGTGACAAGCTTGTCCACGTTGCGCCCGCCCCGTGCAGCGGCGCTGCTAACAGCGGTGCCCATGGATTGGAGGGAAGGGTCGAGATCACTATGAGAGTTAGCGAGTGGACTCTGGGCCCAAGGGGCTAAGAGCCTGTGAAGGGAGTTAGTCGCTCACAGTTTAAACCACTCTATGACCTCATCCGTGGGCGCATTCACTGGGATGGAAAAACCCCATTCTGGTTGGTTCCCATTGTAGCGCAGTTTGGTTGGAACCTTGTCTGATGACTCCCCTTCGCGCGTAGACTTGGAAATGGGCCAGACAGTGATGGCTACCCGGCGGTCCGGGCGCTGTGTCTCGGCCCAGGCTACGCCGGAGTAGGTCGTACCGAAGTCGATGCCGACAATGATCTTGCGGTCGTTGATGTTGAGGCTATTGAAGTCCATGGTGGGTAGGTGCGGGGAAGTCATGGTCGGACGGGAGGGAGGAAAAGGGAACGACTCATATAGTGAAGCAGACGGCGGGTTATTGGTACCGGGGGCACGAGCTTGCATGAGGTAGTAATTCGGGCCCAGCGGCTCTCTAAAGAGGATACAAACGAGGTGGTTGTTGCAAATAAAGCGTGGCGGTGGTTTGCACGGCCCTGTACCCCACGTGCCCGTCTGTCATAAGGGGCTCAATCAGGGCGCGGGGGGCTTTAATGGCCTTTTGAATCCCCGATTAGCGAAACTGCCCTTTAAGACGGGTTATGGGGCGTAGTCTCGGTGATGTGTCGGTATGAGAGTTTGCCTCGTGAACTGAATAGGTCAACAGGAACCGGTGGCGGTGCGGGAATTCGTTCCGTAGAGGGAAGCTGCTGAGGCGAGAGGGCTTGGAAGGGACACAGAAAGCAAGCATGGTGCGAGGGTCTCAGGGCCCAGGCTGTGTAACCGCCTGCTTGAGGCCAACCATTGCGCACAACGGGCAAGCAAGGAGCTCCGAAGGTTGCCAGATTGTGTGGCGCAGTTTTTGTTTTAGCGGGTGCAACAAATTCGGTGTTTACAAACATCATCGCAACATGAGAGGAAAAGAAATCAAGAAGATGCCTATAGCCACATCGTCGTTTTTTGTCACCCGTCGGCTTGTATGTACAGTATTGTTGTCGAGTGATTGTCCAGAGAGGAAGGGAGATCCCTGAGGTAGCTTAGGTAGGTACCTTGATCGGGATTCCAGGGCTGGGTTCCACTGTGGGAAGGGGCGGGCGGTGGAAGGTGCGGTGGCCCGACCTCAACGGACAGGGGCAGCCAGGGAGCCTAGCGAGCCCAGAAGCGGACGGTTTGGCGGCCACCACCACCACACTCCCGTGAGTACCGTCCCGTCACGGTGGTGATGGCCCCGGGCCGTGTCCAATTGGGAATTGCCTACCGGTACCTAAGGAAAAAAGGCTAGTTTACCAATTAGTGTTTAGGCCTTGATCGCGGGAAGGAATTCCTCCACGGCTTTTTTTTCTTGACTGACACCATGGATGTCTCATTGCGACTAGACGTGGGGCGTGTAAGCCTCGGGCCCCGAACTACCTACCGATGATCACATCTTGACTTCGTATCCTGTATCAACCGCAGCTCATTCCAAGCGTTTTCAGAGGATCGCGTTAAATGCCTATACGGGGTGGTAATGCGGGACATGCATTACAACCTAAGCCGCGGCGTGATACAACCCCACCTTCTTCCGTTCAGCCTCGCTGCGCCCACCTTGAACCGTCGACCTTCGCTTTCTCCGGGCCGGTCTCAACCGCATTCAACGCAGAAATGGTCAGGGGTAAATGGGGCCTTTTGTCTTATTCCTCTAGCTCCCACAAACAAGGTACAATGGAGGACCTCAAGCGCGAGTTTGAAGCCGACCTGGTGAAGAAGGCGCCCACCGAGCTCAAGCCACCAACACAAGTGAGCAAACCACTATTGGACCAACATATGGCGGATATGGTAGAGACGAATCCACCCAGACGGACACAGGGCAAGACGTCGCCAAACAATGACAAAGAGCAGCCGTCAGCGACTGCGTTACCAACGGCTGCCTACAAAGAAGTCTCCGACGGTACCGGCCTAAAGTTTGTATTTTTTGGTTCTTCTACTTTGCCAGCGGATTATTCCTGAATCTCTCCTTCATGTTTTCTACTATATGTGCCCCTCAAATTTGCGACGCTGAAAACATCATGCTCATTCAAATCATGTGCAGGTTTTATACCCCACAAAACAGCATGGAGCGTCGCCTTCCACAGCCCACCCACCAGCCAGATATAGAGGACTACCTCCGTCAAGAGTTGGAACGATCGCAGGTCCAGCTTCATGAGGCCAACACCCGCGCTGACCAGGCCGAGCGGGCGGCCAGGGAACTATCAAGGGAGCTGCAACTGCGATCGCGGACTAGTGCAGTAGCCGAGATAAGGGGCGGCAGTTCGGAAGACGCAGCCACCTCTCTCCGGGCTGAGAATGCGAGGCTCAAAGCCGAGCTGGACGAGGCCCGTTCTCACATCTTCAGTCTCCAGCCATATCGCAAAGAACTCACGCCGAAAGAGATTGGCCAGGTATGCCGGCCTTTGTCGTAGATGTTGATTGCACGCTATGAACTGACACGGTGTGTGTAGGATTTTGACGACCTAGTCAATAACGTTACCGACTGGGTCACTGATTTCATGGACCCGACTCTGGATAGCGACGAGAGACGGGACGAGGTTCTCACTGCGGCCAAGAAACGACCCGGCGACATCCAGAAGCTGAAGGGATATTTGCGGTCGCAGCCCGATTTGGTCTATGGTTGCATGTACCCAGAGACGGACGTTGACATCTTCATTGCCGTTGTGATGCGGTATCTTCAGGATCATATCTTCCAAAAGGCCTTGTATGGGGCTACATCAGACGTTGTCGAGACCATCAACTTCCTCGAGGCATCAATGCAGACCAATGTGGAGCCAAAAAGAGGTGACTGGGTCTTATCGGATTGCTGTTTCTCTCGGTACTCACACTAACAGCCCGTCAGATCAATTCGCCCTCCGAACCTGGAGCGCCGAAGCGCTCAACGCCCTCATCTGCTCCCCGAACTACCAGCGCGCCCGCCACACTCGCAAACGGGAAATCACCACCGACCTATCCTCTCTCTTCAAAATCTTCCTCAAGGAGAAAGAATGGAACAAATTCTGTGTCACCTGCCAAGACACCATCATCAAACCAGCCATTGCCCTCCACGAGAAACTCCTCACCTCCACAGACCACTTCTACCTTGATCTCGTCCCCTATGTCCTCTGGGGCCCACCACCAGACCACAACATTCGAATCAGCCCTGATTTCATCTCTGACCTACCCCGTATCCGATGCGAGAACATCTTACAGAACCGCAAACCCTTGTCGGTCACCAAACTCGACCCTTCACCGTCCCTCGAGCAGCTACATCACGAGCTGACACACGTGGTGAGTGTCGTACCGGGACTGTATATGCGGCAGGTTGGGAAGGGTGATGTGATCAAGGAGCCTACTGTGGTTCGGATGCAGCAGACCTTGGTGGCGTGGGGCGCGGCGGATGTAAGAGAGAAGTTTGTTGAGGGTGGTGAGGGGACATTGGTCAGACGGTTGTGCTTTTCGAGGAAAGAGAGAGGAGATGATCAAGGAGGTGGTGGTGGGTTGTGGGAGAAGTGGAGGAATCTACAGTTAGGGTAGCTGTTTCACACCTCGTACCATTTGGTCCAGCGTATAGTTATGAAGTCTCATATCGATATTTGTAAGTCATCAGTTATGACACAACGAAAACTTTACATTTCGCAAAGCCGCGATGTAATTTCGCTGCTAGCTTTTGACACTCTCTGGAATGGAAAGCATAGATCTGCCCTTAACTCGAAATAAATTAAAGAAAATTGCCTCATTTTGCATTTAGTTATTACCCGAGCTCACCCATTTCTTGCCTGTTCGGGAGGTTGTCCAAAGTGGACGAGACACCATCTTCCGAGTGGGGCATTCACCCCGCGTGAGGCCAGCAGCTCCTAGCAACCCCCACGTGCGCCCCCACCTACCGCTTCAGCGTCCATCCTGGAACTCAGCCACGACAACTCTGGGGCTGCGGAGGGGCAGATTCAACTGTGTGCCCAAGAAACAGCCTCGTTAAATTCATCGCTTCTCGGTCGCTGTTTTGAGGTTGGCCTTGCTCAAACCAAGCCACCATCGGCTCTCACTGCAGCTTATTAGTCACAAGGGGGCTGCAGCTGGCAGCGGGCTGGCAAAGCCGGGAGTTACCCCTCAGCTAGGCCCTAGCGGCTCCTGGGCCGCCCACCCCGCCCACTTTCTCGCTTCTCGCGTGTTCGGTTTGGAGGTCTTATCAACTCAAAAGCGATCCGACGACTTGAGTTTAAGAGAATCCGTTTGACAAAGCTGTTTCTCCCGTTATGCGCCCGCCAATGGACATCTATTAACCCCCTTTGTGGGGTCATCCAGCTTCACCGCCGGCACACACTGAGATCTGTACCTTACAGCTCAAGCCCAACGGGCTCCGGCACACACAATTCCGTTCGCTTGATGGGCCCACGCTCATGTGCCACCTCACCTTGTCAGGGCTCAAGACAACGCAGGACATTTCTAATCTGCAGGTCCACGCAGGCAAGTTCTCTCATGCGCCGATTACCTGTGTGCTGGATCTTCCCCAGTGGCCGCCCTGTGTCCCTCTCGTCGCTTTGTCATCACCGCTCCTCCCGTTTGACTCGTCGACTCATCGCTTTTGCCGGTCCTGCCATTTGCTTGACCAACTTTTTGTGGATATTCTCGGCTCGATTGATACTCACGTGAGACCGTGAACCGGTGGTGTTCGAACGACACGTATGGTTTTCCTTACGCCCTATCTTTCTAGAACAATTGAACGGAGGGGCATGAAACCATGAGCTGGTGTCGTGTCATACCGGATGCCCAATGAATACATGCCAGCCGTGGTATCTCACTCGCTTCGTCCACTTTCCTTGACTTGTCTTCCTCAGCTACTATGAAATTGGCATCGGGAATTTGGGAGATGTGGCCTACCATTATTTGACGGGCACGGCGAGATAAAGGGAGCGCTAGACTAACGTTTGAAGCGCAGGGAATAATAGTGTCCCAAACGCAACGACAACAGCACTTATCCGATCGTGACTACCTACGACCCTGAGAAACGGCAAACACATCATGGCGTCAAGGTTTTATGGCCCCATCAACCCGGCGATGCTTGGAGCAGAATGGGAAGGGGACAAAGAACCGGAGCAGCGGGCAACACGGGTGACGCCGAGGGGACGAGAAGGACGACACACACAATCGCAACGTGGACTAGCACAACGGCCTCCGCAATCACAACCACAACCGGCCGCGCCAGAACTTCCAAACTTAACATCAACGGTATCTGGGTTCTGGGGTTTCAACGCGGCCCTGTTAAAAGGGTTTGAGGATGACGACGACAGCGAAGCATCGGGCAGGGCTGCGGATGGAGGGAGTAATCCTGTTCAAGAGCTCATCAACGCGATCCCCCCTGCGGCGAGGTCTTTGTTCCGGGACCTTATGCCGCCCCCTTTGTCGCCTGCTTCCTCCGCCAGTGCGTCCTCTAACAATGGTGGGACAAACGGATGTGAGCGCCAGGACAGGGGAAGGGAAGGAGAGTACAAGCTCGAAACGCAGCAGCAAAGAACCAACAAGGTGCCCCCCTCGAGAGAAGTTAGCACAGCACGGTCGGAGTCCAGCCGGTCGACCAACCCATATGCGGCTGCCATCGACAACAAGCAGAATGCCCTCACAGTTGCATATCTGCGGAGCACTGCGAAGGCTGCGCCCGTCGATACGCCGAACACCCCAGCCCCTGACGAGCTTGGGTAAGCACCCCAATGCAACTTTTGTCGTTGATGCCCCCCTAACCCTGCTTTTAGATTCGGGCAAAGATACAAGGTCGCGGATGAGACGTCCTCGGTCGTCATCACCAACCAGCGACGGTTGCCGGATGTTCTGAGTGGAGACCGCGAGTGCATCGTTTGTACGGATACCAAGCCAGTGTCGGAGTTCCCCGCAGCAGGCATCACCAAAGCCTGCGACCACGATCCAACAACATGTTTAGTCTGTGTTGAGATGTCGATCAAAAGTGACCTCACCAGTAAACTGTGGGACGAAATCAAGTGTCCGGAGTGTCGGGCCACTTTGGAGTACGATGATGTGCAGCGGTTCGCGGATGAGGAGACCAAGGAGCGGTACGTCCCCAATCAGTATCCACTTGTGAGGTTACCAACGGAGATCTAACATTTGTTGTCTAGCTACCAAACTCTCTCCTTCCGCTCAGCTATTTCCTCCTCCCCAACCTTCCTCTGGTGTACTTCTGGTTGCGGCTATGGCCAAGAACACGAATCCGGCGCAGCCTCCCCCATTGTGACCTGCCGTCTCTGTTCCCACCGATCGTGCTTCAACCACCGTGTAGCCTGGCACGAAAACCTCACTTGCGAGGAGTATGACTTACTCCAAGCCGACCCAGCCAACTTCCGCAGCCGCTTCGATCTCGACAATGAAGAGGCGGAGGAGGCCGCTGCTGCGCGGCGCGCACAGGAGGATGCCGACCGCGTGTTCGCGCAGAGCTTGGTGGCTGCGGATCAGGCAGAGGAGCGCGCCGAACGGGGACGTAGGGCAAGGAGGGAGGAGGAAGAAGCGCGGGAGAGGGCGGCGCGTGAGCAAAGGGAAGCCAGGGAGAGGGAGATGCGGGAGGCGGCAGCCAGGAAGAAGAGAGAGGAGGAGGCGAGTTCAAGGACGGTGGGCACGACCACGAAGCCGTGCCCAGGTTGTCAGGCACCGATTGAGAAGAATCAGGGGTGGTAAGTATTTTGTTTCTTTTTTATTTACTCCCCGCTGTCATCCTATTTGGCAAGTTGCGTTGTTCATGAGGCTGACACATAATTATCTTGCAGTGCTCATATGACGTGTAAGCTCTCTTTCCTTCCCCATAAATCCGTTGCAGAACTTGGACCATTCAACCACCAAAACTATGTTCCAAGTGGAATAGTTGGTGGTCGTGACCAACCGCCTTCGTTGTATCCGACCATCTATCGACGGATCGAGCCCCATCCTTTCCCATCGCAAGATGACGTTGATGAAACGGAAACCAACCATTACTCCTCCGTCTTCCCTTTTTACAGGTATCCGGTGCCGGTATCAATTCTGTTGGGGTTGCAACGCCACATGGCAGCCAAGCCATAGTATCCGTTGTATGGGGGTGAGAAGGTGATGAGACCGACCGTGATACGAGGACGAGACGAGAGATGGGTAGCCAGATGGATGGGCGGAGAGCCGGAACAACTTCACGAAGGAAACCTACATTTGCAGAGTCATCAAGTGAGGCAAGTTCTGCTTCTAATATATGATTCATTTCTCGTCATAGTATAATGCCTTTGACTTGACCGATTTCGCTGACTGTCTTACCCCGAACAGGTACACAGTGCAAGCACGGCTTCTGTTGGGATTGTCTCGCGAGTCACAAGGAGATTCTGGAGAGTGATAACAGCGCGCACAAGGAAGGTTGTCCATGGCATCCGGATAATATCAAGGACTGAGAATCAGCAGTTTGGACTTGGGATCTTTCAGGCGTTTAGGGTATATCAGCGATCATAGCATAGATTGTGTGACATAATTATTTTCTGGGCAAGTCCGAAAGGCCAACAAGGAATCACCCCAGTTTGCCCGTAACAAAGTCGCATTCTGTTGAGACAATGATTGGGATGAATGATATGTCCATACGAAAAACTGGAAAACAAAAGGGTCAAAAATCTCACTGCTCATTCGAGTCCCTGTGGGGGGCACTCGCGCACTGTTTGTTTGCCCTCAGGTTCTATTTTTGTCCTGGTCCCAACCAACACCGATGATCGAGGGGTAACCCAACAACGCCCCACCAGCGACAACCAACATCGACGCAAAAATAGGTATCGGGGTTTAGAATATCGAGTCGTGCGGCCTGGTCCTGGACCCCGTAGACCTCTCATCATATGCCGCCGCCGACCGGTACTTAGGTCTGGAGTCTTTGCTTCGCGTCCCACTAACGTTGGTCAACTTGGCTGCAATACAGCATGAGTCCCCGGATTTCCTCGTGTCCCATTTGCGGATGGAGGATTCTCGCCGGTTTTGTATTCTGGCCGACGTAGCGGCGTGAATTTCGCGCCGGTGAGTAACGACCTCCACAGGCATTTGGCAGTTGATCGAACGCTGTCTCATGTTTATCTCTGTTCCCACAGTTTATTCGGGCCCCGAGGGCTACGTCCTCACCGGAGTCGGCATTTACAATGACGCTGTGTTGGCAGCTTTCATTGCCCCTCCGAACCCTAACGCCCGGTACGATGACCCAGGCTATGTCCAGCCTGCGACCGATGAATTTGGGGCCATGACGGATATTGAGGTGGATGGCCGGCGTGGATTTGTGTTTCACGAAGTTTGCTGGTCACTGTTGGAGAAAGCGTATCACTTGGCACAAATTGTTCCCATCCATAGGGTGTGGGAGGTCTGCAATTCGATTCCGCTCTCTATGGCCGGAGACAGCTTGAACTGGGGTCATGACTACGGGGGACTAGCCATTCAAAGGGATAACTTCTTCCCGTGGGAGCCGCGTTTTGCTAATCGCCACTTTCCGCATGGGCAAAGATACCCTCCCATCTACGATGTGGACCCTCGCGCACCCTACGAACTCGATGACATTTTGGCTGAACACCCTCAACACCCTCCCAGGGTCTCACCGTCACTTTTTCTCGGCTCGCAACCTAATACCTCATCCAACGAGGACCCATTCATCTCACTTCCGGCTGAGCTATGCTCGCTCATCGCCCGTTATCTACCGACAGCAGATGCATTGAACCTCCGGCTTGCCTCGAGACGTTTCTGGCACATCTACGACAGCCAACAGTTCTGGGTATCCCGCTTTAAAGGAAACTCGGACAGGTCCTGGCTGTCTGAGGTTCATGCCCATGATGCGCGCCCGAAGCGTACGTCTCCTCCGGATTGGCGCTGGCTATACCGTTGTACGACTAATGCCCACCGCATGCCCGGGCTCCAAAACCGGAAACGAATCTGGTCCCTTATTCAGGGCATCATCCCTCTCCTGGCGTTACGCTGGAACGAAGTTCCTTGCCCCTTGCCCACTCCTTGGCAGCGGCCGTCTGAAACGACCGACAAGGAGGAGGCCCAGGATCCGTCGTGGGCATTTGTCGGCGGGTTCATATCCCATGAGTCTAATGAGTTCTGCCAGTTGGGAAAGGCTGGCCGCCGGCTCCACAGCGAGCGAGTGGTTGTCCCTGCGGGCATCTCACATGTCGCTGTCTCCACAGTGCACCTCACGGACTGGGGTTATATTGCAGGCATATCACTGACTTCGATGACGGGAGCTGTGTTACGGCTGGGGTATGGTGATTTCGACGCGCAGTCATCTGCTGAACTTCCGAACAAGCTGGCGGGGTTCAATGTGGCAGTGGGTGTGGACGGGATCCATGGTCTCCAATGCGTGGACACAAAGTTAGGATCGGTCTCAAAGTGGCTTGGATGTACACACGATGTACCCAAGACGGAGCGATTAGCTGTGGGAACTCCCATCGCGGAATTAGAGCTCGGGTTTGATGTGTGTGAGCCCTTCAAGGTTTCTACTCCAAGGTCGGACTTTGTCGGCTAACTTTGCAATAGGGATTCAAAGTTGTCAACATTGCTATTGCTGTTGGCCACCCTCCCCACCCTCCGACGCCCCGTTTTGATAATAACCTCTTGCGGCGTCACGGAATATGGTACCCAGATCTTCCACCGCCAAGTCTCGACTTTAACGAAGAAGCCTTTCCCGCCCCATCTCTGTACGGTTGGGGCTTTCGACCACTGTTTTGTCCCGTTTTGGCGGACCGGGAGGGATTTACTTACAGCATTTGACGAAACTGACCGTGCGCGGGGGCGGCTTGCAACGTATCGAGTTCAGTTTTAACATTGACGTCCCCGTTGAATGCTGGAGTTTTGGGCGCTGGGAGAATACCGAGTTTACAGAGTTTGTTGATTTTAACATTGACGGGGCCGGGGGAGAATTGATAGACAGGGTGGAAATTGGTCAGGTGTACGAGGACAGAGGTCCAAATTGGTGCCGAGAAGCTGGAGATTTGGGTTGGGTCAAGTACCTATCAGCAACCATTCGTTCGTACAAATTGTCTGCGCATCACCGCTAACAGTCATTGTTCTACACTAGATTCATACGAACAGGGGCAGAACGTGTGAAACCGGTAGAAAACAACGATCTCGAAAGAGCGTGATCAAGGAAAGGGTGGTCATTGCTGGACCTGGGAGAGTGGTCACTGGCTTTTATGGCGCTCAGGTACGTGCAACCTCGGTAAGGTAGCCGGGTTGCAACTGATGGCTGCTAACTTCGCTGATGTCATTAATCAGTACCGGAACCTTGCTATACCCATCACAGTCCTGGGTGTAATAACTGAAGCATCCAGCCTCTCGGCACAATAAGTCGGTCGCAGCGAGTGGCATTCTTAAACCCTTCAGGCGTATTTTGATACTCTACCTCGCTGTGGCCAAAAAAAGCGGCAGACTAAAACAGATAGCCTAGTTATGTCCAATCCATTAACCTTCAATCAAATCTTAAGAGATTGTGATTGATTGAGTCTCTTTTGTCGTTTTTTTACTTTCTGGATTCATTCCTTTTGTCTTTTTTCACTTCTGTAAAAAGTAAGTTACCACCGATCCAAGGACTTAGTCTGCCGCTTTTTTTGGCCAGAGCAAGACTACCTGGTATTATTTAACCTCGGTGGCGCAGACCGAAAAGCCCAACGATCAATTAGACAACTGTGGGATGATGAAAACTACCTAACTACCTAGCAACCTTTATTGAAGATGTTGAGTAGTGTTAAGCATTTACCGCCATGTTGCAATATTGTCTGTCGTCCTATCAAACAGAATTCCATGACAGCTTGATTGATTACCCGGCTCACCATGACTCGCACTCGCCCAAACACTGCATTCAAGGCCGGCGACATGTCTGCGTCAAACATTCCGAGGCTGGCTTAGACTTAACCCAGGCCATAGCAATGAATGCGATGGTGTTTGCCAATAGGAATGAGGAGAATGACAACATAGGCGATAAGCGAATGCGCACTGCTAGGCACCCGCTGAGAGAAGGTTTCGCTGCGTGTTTAGCTACCTAGATAGGTCTGGTAGGTAAGCTTTAGTATCCGAGTAGTCGGTCTAAAGAGTCAGAATAGGATTCCACTAGGCGGTAATGGTCTGTCGGTTGGTCTCGGTTGTGTAATTTGGTCTTCTGCCTATGGCCCCTGAATCCGGCCGCAAGTCCGAAGGGGAGTTTTACGTGCCCCTTTTTTTAGCCCCCACTACTTACGATAGTACCACGATTTAGTGCTACCAGTTAGCACTGATGTTAACAGGCTATTGCAGCTCTAGTACTTTTCATTCCGGTGTGTATCTGATCTCTAGGTTGCTGCCTGTGGCGCAGAAATGCCTGATGTACTGCACTCGGCCCTTGGATGAAATCTGAATGGTTCGGTCAAGCGCCAAGCAGTCACCACCAACACACGTCTCTCACTATCGAGTCTAGACCTTTGAATCTAACAGGGGGCAGAGATGTGGTAATACGGGTTGCGTTTGTTGGCGTTTCTGAGTTCTATGCTAGAAAATAATCGCCCTAATAGGTAGGTAAGAGGATTAGGCGAAGGAGGCACGTTATCATCAAATGGCTTGTTTGGTGATGCCCAAGCCATTAAGCGAGAAACTCTGACCAGCAGCCTGGGGTCGTGAGGCTGCTGGGCTCGGCAGCCCACGACGCAACCCGCGGTCATCGGGTCCTGGGGCCGTTGGGTCTGGGGATGACCGGGCGATGCGGGTAAAACGTTGAAAGCGAGGCTCACGATGTCGGGTTTGGAGTTTGGCTGTAAAGGTTTTGGTGTTTGAGGTGTGTGAACCGAGGACTCCAAGGACAACGTTGCCGACGAGAATTGTGTATAAAGAGAAGACTTCGGTCGGGGCAAGTCAGTTTATTTTTCCATTCAGCATCACAACATCAGCATTCATTCAACAGTCACAGCTACTACAGCAACTACAACACTAACAAACACTCCTTCAACACTAACAATCACGTCTACAACACTTTCAATTACTTAACCAAGTAACCACCAGTACCATCAACATGAAGACCCAGATCTTTTTCGTCGTCGCCGCTGCTCTCCTTCCTTCGGTCCTGGGTGACGCGCCCAAGCTCAACCAGTACAGCTCTCTCGATGACTGGTAAGTATTTACCTTCTACCTTCTGGATCCAACACTTGCAAACATGCCTCTAACCACTTTTCCCAACTTACAGCCAGAACGACAAGAGCATCCTCTACCACGCCGCCCCCGTCTCGGGCCGGTGCTACGACCTGGACGATGCCACTGCCGCTTTCTTCTGGAACACCGGCGGCATGCTGAACCCCAGGGGTACGTCATTACCTTTCCCCTCTCACTTTCTCTCTTTCTCCTTCCGAGCCTTCACTGACTTACATACCTTCTAGTCTACACCGGCAAGGGCTGCAACGGTATCGAGGACCCCCTCTCCACCAACGGCCGCTGCATGGAGAAGGGCAAGTACAACTCGTACCGCTGCTCTTAGATGGCTGGCTGGCTTTGCTTGTCCAGGCATACAACAAACAAACAACATGGGGAGGATAGGGTTCTGCGCCTGCCTCTTACTCTCACTTTCTTTTTTTGGCTTTTGGTCTTTCGTTCCTTTTCAACCCAGTCCCCGAAGCGCGCCGAGGACTGGAGCCACTCTTTTGGGATCAGCGGGTGTTTTGGGGGGTTGTTTGAGCTTTTGGTTCGGGGATGGGGTTTTAGCTAGAGGTTCATAGCAGCTTGGGCTGGTTCTCAACACGATTATGTTCTGAAATCTTCTTGTTGAACTCCCTCGATTAGTATTGTGACTGTTTTGTTTTCTTTCCTATACTCACTCTAGCAGGGGATGGCAAAAGTCATGGAAAGCACTACAGCAAATACAACGGCAAACACGACGCATAATTCAAGACTACCGACTTTTGATTCTGCAATTCCCTCAACACAACCCACCCCTACTGTCGCATTCCGCGTTCACAGCTTGCGTTCGCCATTTTATAGTTTATTAGACACCGAGAGGATGGGCCCCGTTGGCCGCACACAAGGCTGGCTTGTTGCCAGAACGTTTGTGCTCTGTTCAAATGCATAAGCGATTCCGATCAGTTTCTCATCGCTGAACTTCTTCCCTACAAAGCTCAACGAGTAGCTAGTGAGTGATCAGCTCCAGAGTTCCTCAGGTGGAATGAGGGAGAATTTGCTAACGGTATGTTGGGGCCTTTTGCTATCATCTGGTTGACGCTCGTGGTCTTCTCCCTCATGGCTGGAAAGAAGCCAAGCGGAACGGCAATGGCAGGATTCTGTCCCAGGTCGGAGGGGATGTCGGCCGTTGTCGGCACAACAAGAGCATCACCGTTCGCCTGGTCGAGCAACTTTGAGATTGCACTTCCTTGCTCAATCATGCGACGAACGGCTTCTTGAAACTCCATTGAGGAATTGTCCCGCGGTTCGTCCTTCGCGGCGAGAAAGGCGTTGATGCCGTACTTCTCAACTTCTTCCTCTGGCGTATTCTCCATGAAGCTTATCAGATCTGCTATGGTGTGGATGCCGTGTGGGTTTGTCGCGAGACTTTGGAAGTATGATTCCAGTCCTACACAAAATTAATTAGAACTGAGACAGAGCCGATGTCAAGCCTGCAAGCTAACCTTCCTTGAGGAATATGTTGGCAGGCATTTCCTCTCTTTTGGTGGTGCCGTAGTCCCAGCCCACGAAGTCCACATCCCGAACAATGTGGGCGCCCTCTGATTCCATGACCTGGAGAGCGTTCTCTAGGGCGTGGAGAAGCTCTGCATCGTAATACCGCTCCATCACCGACGGCGATACCTGCAAGTTTAGAGTCATATCCTTGTTCTCTCAAGCTTAAGTGAAACTCACTGCGATTCTTGCGCCGCGAAGAGCGTCGGGTTTGCAGGCAGCGACAAAATCCGGGACTTTCTCGAACGGGATGGTGTTGGTCGTAGGGTCCTCAAGGCACTGGCCTAATTAATTTTTGACGGTCAGCAGCGCGGTGCGGTGTTCACAAAAGTGTCGGCAACTTACCAGCAATTACTGACAAGACCAGGGCTGCATCTTCCACAGTTCTGGTAATGGGGCCCACGGTATCCTTGTGCTTCGAGACTGGTACGACGCCAGCACGGGAGACGAGTCCGACAGTGGGCTTGAGGCCGACAACGCCATTGTTTTGCGCTGGATAAGTAATGCTTCTCTAGGTCTCGAAGGATAGTCAGCCCTTCTGTTTCTCGGCTTCTTGACTCCTCCGCCAGATGATTCGTTGGGGTGCTTTTCCTCACCTCGGTCCCAATCGCCGTAACGGCCAGCCCAATGGACATGGCAACGGCGCAACCTGACGACAAGCCCTGCGGATCTTGCTTGCCAAAGAAGGCACCGTAGCACTGACCGCTAGTTGCGGACCAGCCATTGGGAGTGTTGGATGACCGCGTATTGCTCCATTCAGTTACGGTTCCCTTTCCGAGAATAACGGCACCAGCGTCGCGGAGCCGATTGACGACAGCGGCTTCGGTTGACGGACGTGCGCCGACAAGAGCAAGGGAGCCGGCTGTTGACAATACCGCCAGCATTAGCGGCCGGTCGGTAAGCATCTTAGCTATTCGAAGAGGCTTACCAGTCGTTTCCATTCTATCAAGTGTGCACATGGTCTCTTTCACGAGAATCGGGGCACCGTGAAGCGGGCTAGAAAAAGGGAGAAAGGCAGAAAATGTAAGTTTAGGCGTTTCTCTCGCTTTGATGGTACGTGAGTACTTAACGAACCCTCGGACATAGCCAGATGTGCGCTCCTGGTCTCGAGCCACAGCGTCATGAAGCGCATCGGGGTTGATTTGGGAGACGGCGTTGACAGAGCCGTTCACCTGTTGAATACGGGCAATATATCTCTGTAGCATCATCAATACCCTGCCAGCAGCGACCAGGATTGAAGGGGCTTCGTCACCTTGGTGAGTTCCTCACTCGTCACTGCGTCGTTTTGGAGCGCCGAGACGATTTCGGCGAGGCTCGGAACGTAGAATTCACCCACCGCCCCGGACCCGTCTATGGCGAGGGGATTTTCCCGATCAAAGGCGAAAGCTGCTGGCTTGTGGTTACACCTGGGTAAGAGAAATGAATAGCAACACCAAGCATTAATAGGTCCAAGCTTCTCGTGGCTGAGTTTGGTGACGGAAGAAATTTATTGATTATGGTGCTAGGAGAAACAATTATTATTGAAAGCCACAAACAAATGCCATTTTCTAATTAGATGAATGTGACAATTTGAGAGTTGGCGCCTTGGACAGTGCGAGTTGTTGCCAACTCACCGATGGACAATCGAACACGTCCTCGCTCCGCCTCGTCACCCATGATCTGCCAACTATGAAAACCTCATCTGGTTAGTTTGTCATGGTTCAGTGGATTTCATCACGAGGATGGTGAAAGTTAGTACTCTACACAAGTATTAATTAACCAGAATCACGTCCGCAAGTTACAGTGGCTCAAACTCGCTGCGGCGAAAAAAAGCGGCAGACTACCTAGGTACCTAATGAAAATAGATATTAATTAATTATTCGCTCAAGTCTAATGCATTAACCTTCGAGCGAATCTTGAGAGATTTTGATGGGTTTACTCTTTTTTGTCCCGCCTTACGTTTTTAAATTATTCTTTTTAGTCTTGCTTCAGTTTTATGGGAAGGTTACCTAAGTATCTGGGGACTTGGTCTGCCTCTTTTTTGTTTGGCTCTGGCTGCTGCTCTGCTGCCTTACTCTCCCTGCAGAGTCTTTTTGTTAATTATGGGCCCACCTCTCCATGGGCTGGAATGGCCTGTTTCTTCCCCTAGTTACATCAGAGAATCACGGTTGGAGGACTTTTCACAGAACTTGAGTATGAGTGGTGTGGTTTCAGTCAATGTGTGCTGTGCTGGCAAGTTGTCAGCTTTGGGGACGAGCCCCCTGTGGTGCGATTACTTAGGGTTAGGGTAAGGTAGTTGGTGTTGTTGGGTCCGGCCCAACAAGAGAGCACGGGGCCCATGTGGGCTTGGACTTGTGCTCACCTAGCGCAGCATTCGCTCACTTACGAAATAGGTTAAGTTCAGTGGTTGGTGATGCGGAATGGTGACGCGTTCAACAGTTGTTCGACGGAGTCAAAATCAGGCGCGGGAGCGCATGGTTTTAAGCGATAAGCGCGTATGTAAGCTAAATAACACCAACCCGCCCACTCACGGACCATGAACCCACTTGCGCAAACGGTGACATCACCGCAGGAACCTACAACAAGTTCGTACTCATTACTTGTAACTATACTTCTCTCCTTTTCCTTTCCCCACTCCAAACTTTTCCACCCACACAACCATGTCTTCCAGTCCGTCCTCGTCCACCGACCCCTGGTTTGAGTTAGCCAACGGTCCTCACACCGGCAAGACCTATTGGCAAGGCAAATCCTTCCTCATCCGCAAGCACTGTCCCCCAGAACCATTCCAGGTTAATGGCCACTATCGGGACAACCCGCGGCCCATTGCCGACTGGGACCTATGGGGAGCTCGCAAGCAGTATGGAATCGACCGTCTCGAGTTTGCCCTCGCTTACCCGCCTATGGATGATGAGAGTCATCAGCATCCGAGTACCGGTAATGACACGGTTCTCGAACGTTCACTAACCATCACGGGTTCTAAAACACGCCGCAACAATGATAATGGGTCTGAAAGGCGTGGGGCGCACGTGCTGACATGCTTTCTCGACGGGGACGCTACAGTGGAATACATCGCGAAAATCTACGATGGCGTTGACTACCCCGGCAGCTACCAGGAGCCCGATTGCATGACCTTGGCCGACATGGATTACAGCATCGAGGCCTGCGCATACCGGAATCTACAGTCAATCCCCGGAGTCGGAGGAGTCCTTGTACCAGCTTATTTTGGCTCCTGGACCTTTGCACTCGATGTCGTTGATCAGTTTGCATATCTCGGCCACGACCACCATGAGAACCCAAATGCCGATGCGGACCCGAATGGCCCTGCGGCGGTAGCCCGTCAACGTTGGGTACGCATGATTCTGATCGAGCTGGTCCCGGGCGAGTGTCTCCTAGACATGATAGAGCGCGCCAGAGTACCCGTACCCTCCCTAGAGCCGACTCTACGTCCGATCACCACTACAAACTATTCTGTCTTACCCCCCGAAGCCTTCCGTATCCGCGTCATCCGCAACATCATCGAAGCCGATATCATCATCTGGTGGGAAGCCCTCCTCACAAACCACGATTTCCACCCGCGTAACATCATGGTCAAACCCGACGGCAAGGTCGTCATCATCGACTTCAACCACGCCCAGCTGTTTGAGTTCACCACCTATGGTGATGTTCACCCCCGGCAACGGGAGCCGGGCCACCCAGATGCCCTAACCCAGCCAGAGTCCCCGATAGAGAGGTATTGGGCCGTCCCGTTTGGCTCCGTGGCCGCCGGGTGGGTTGGTGACCTATGGAAACACTGGATGCCGGAGTCCTGGGTCAAGGATCCGGATCAGGCAACTGAATGGTTGGTGGCTACCTTCCGGGACGATACCAGGTTCGCGCCGCTGAGTCACGACTTTTTGAATTGTTATTTCCGGACCAAGTGTAGTCCGAGAGCACAAAAGTTACTAGAGGATTTAGGGCGGGAGCCAGCGGGCAAAGGGGCAGAAAAGAAGGGAAAAGAAATCGACATTTAGGTTTATGGTAGAACACCTAATCATCAGTTGCTCGGGTGAGTAGCTGTGGGTTACTTGGGTTGACAGAATTAAACGGCGGCGGTTCTCTACAGGCAATGGTGATCTCATAGCAGCCCTGCTGCATGTAATTCCAAGGGCAGTGCCGACCTGATAATAAACAAGTGGAAAGCAGCCCTTAATCCGTCCCCTCTTTGCCCAAACCTTACGTAAATAGACCACGTGGCCGCGGCTTCTCAACTCCGCCTCCCTGGAGCACGAAGCACTCGCCATAACATGCAGCGCCGGTCGGCATCCCGTCTCCGGAAAACAGCTATTCCAGAGTCCCTCCGTCGTCCCCAAGAGTCAACGCCAACGCCTCATCCAGACAATCAAGCACCGGGTAAATCTGCGCGTTTATCTCAAACTCCTCCAGTTCCCGCGCATACACCAGAATCCTCAGCGTAAATCGCCGCATCCGGTCCATCTTGATCACCCCACTCGTCACCCACCACTGCGGGATCAGCCGCAGCATAGCCAGAAACCCGCGTGAGAGCGTCAGTCTCAGCTCAAAGCCCACCCCCACGCGGGCGTTCAGCAGCGAATCCATCGACTCGGTGCGAAAAAGGTCGGACACCGTGCGGTGCAGGAAACTGACCCGGTCACGGAGCATGCCCGGTTCGTGCGGGTCACAGTTGAGTTTGACCAGGTCCTTGCACTGCGCGATGAGCTGGTACCATCTCGGCTTCACGGTAGCCAGCACGCGGGACTCGGGCACCGGCTGCAGAGACTTCCCGGTGGCGTAATCGGCGTCTTCTTCCTCGAGGTCGAAGAAGTGGAATAGTAGAACGGGCAACGGCGTCGTGGCGTCTGTCAGGCTCTTCAAGATGCGCGCCGGGCGCTGCCGGTAGACCGTGTCGATGGTGTCGAGCATCAGGGTGAAGTTAGGTAGGCATCCGTATCGGAAGGGAGTTTCTCGAGGCGGCTGCGCAGGTCGCGGAAGCCGTCGCCGTTGGCGAGCCCCTTGAGCAGCGAGCGGACGGCGAGGAATACCCAGAGGAACATGCCTGGGTGTGCCGGCAGATCTCCTCGGCAAGGGCGTCCGCTATGGCTGGGTCGTGGTTTTCCATCCAGAGGTAGGCTGGCTGTGTGGGGCAGAGCTTGGTGTTGGCGTACCGCCGGCTGTCGTCACGCGTCAGGTCCTGGACGGCAAGCGTCCACTCCGTTTGTTGGAGCGCTTGGTGGAACTGGATCCAGGGGCGACTGGACGCGCAGATCTTGAAGTGTGGGGACCGTGATACCTTGAACAGGAGGCCCAGCAGTTCCCGGTGGTCGTCGCGGTAATCGTCGAGTCCGTCGAAGAAGATACAGATGCGTCGTGAGTGAGCGGCTGGCGGCGGTTCGTTAGCCGGGGTGCGTGAGAGAGCCAGCAGCGTGTCGCAGACCTCCGTCCGGTCCCAGGGGTCCAGGGGCTGCTCGGTGAACGGGCCCGAGGCCCAGCGCGCCGGGCAGAGCTGGGGCATCAGGCTCGGGTCCTGGGTCAGGATCTGGTAAAGCAGAGACCGCAGGAGGCCTGCCTTCCTGCGACTTCTGGACGGGGGTCCCAGTGCTCCAGAAGAAATGGTTCGCAACGATGAGGCGGTGTCCGCCGGCCCATTGCTTCAGCGCGCTGAGCGAGCTGACGTGGTTCAGGAGGAACTTCATTAGCGTCGACTTCCCTAAGCCCGCGTGGCCCGACACCCAATATATGCCCAGCTAGTCGGGCGATTTCATCCACCTGACGATGTTGACCCTCGGTGAATCTCCAAAAACCCACCCCAAGGTGTCTGGGTGTGCGTTGTAGACCTCGGAGATGCGTTCCCTGATCTCGGGGTAGTGGAGGGTGGCGAAGCTTCTATCACGTCGGCGCTCGTTGACAAGGCTTGCGAAGGTGCCAGAAGCGAAAGCGGCAAATTCGGTGAATACGGCATCCTGCCCCCCTCGGGGGGTGTCTGCGGCCTCTGCGGCCTCTGTGGCGGGTTCCCAGTCCCGTCTCTCACAAGATGACGAGAGCCGATCCAGATGTCGTTTGAGGAAGGTCTATCGTTCGCCCAACACCTCGTCGGAGCGAAGCAACTGATACCTAAATCACGTCGACAAACCAGTGTCAGCTGAAACGAAGCTTTCATTCCCCGGCCTACCCACCCCAAGCGGTGACGAGTCACGAACCTACAAAGGATAAACATTAAAGTCATCACAAATAGGCCTGCTCCTTCTGTCACCATCGCAGTGAAGTCGGTCTCCGCCAACCTCATTCACCTAGTAATGTTTGGTCGCTCTTTGGCCTGACGGAGTGGCCTGGGTTCAAGCTTCCGGGGAACATGGTGGTTTTTGTCGGCCCGCTGTTCCAGCCGGGCTTCAATCAGCCAGCCGAGCAGCGCTTTCCTGGCGTACTCATGCCCCTTGCCGTTTTCGGCGAGCCCGCCCTGGCAAGAGAGCACGGTGCCGCGGATGAAGGGGGCGGTGGTGGACTCTGGGCCAGGCAATAAGACCCCGAGAAAGAGGGTCCTTCCGTCGAAACAGGCGACATATTGAGTGTCGAAGTTCTCGCTCTGCCCGTATGTCGTGATTTGCTTCATGGGTGACAAAATTTCGCCCTCGATCTGGGTTCGTTTCGGATTCCCTTTAGACAGGTTGCTCTCCTCGACCTTCGAATTGTCGAAATCGCAGACGTTAAAAGCGCCTGTGATCTTGAGTTCCAGGACGGCGAAAACAGGACCAGTCCTTTTCCTCTGTTGCTTATTCTGCTTGCGACCACCACTCCCACTCACCGCATCATCACCGCTATTTTCATCGCCACCAGTGCTGTCGAGCCTCCAGATACAATCAGGGCGGCATTGGCCCCGCTGATACTCCGACAGCATCTCAACCTCCCCAGGAAACACGGCACCACCCAGCGCGAAGTTCGCGGCGTGTGTGAGGTGAGTCGCGGTAAACGTCACGACGTCAGCCTCCCTCCTGACGCGGAACGTAGGCTCTAGAGATGGGAGGTAATGATTACTTAGGTAAGCCCTGACCTTGGGAGTGGAGAGATAACAATCGGCAAGCTCGAGGTAATGTTCTGCTTTCCTGGCAATCCAAAATGGCGGCGGGACTGTCGATTTCACGAGCATGCTGGATTCGTGTCCTCCCAACTCGGTACCGAAGTCTGTTGCTAGTCGAACCGGGGGTAGAGCTTGTTCAAAAGCATCGATGATTGTAGGAGGGGGTCGGGATGTCGTTGTCTGTCTTGCCTCAGCTAGCTGCGGAGGCGGGAGTAAGGTGTTATCGGACGGCGGGGGCTTTAGTATCCTCGGGGGCGAATTATCGGCTACCGGGGATGCTGCAGTCGAAGCCTCTGGCTCGATGAGGTTTTCGGGGGTTTTCGGGGACGTCCTTCTCTTCCTTTTCCCCTGCTTACCGTTGCCGGGTGGTTTAGACGGGTCCTGTCGAAGCGGCGTTGTCGGGGGGCACCGTTGATCTTGCCCAACCGGCTGGGGTACGGGTAGGGGGGTAGGGTTAGGTGGTGACGCGGTTTGATCTTGCAAGCGGTACTTTGGCGCCGATTCCTGGGATCCGGATGTCCCTGCCAAGGGTGTTGATGGCTGAGGGGGCTGGGAGAAACCCTTTGGTTCCTTGTCCTTCTTGGGAGGCATTGCTCTCAACTATGAGCTGGTTTGAGCATAGAAAGGAAATGACGCTAGCTTTTGAATTCGTAATCTTTGGGCTCCGTTAGGCGTGGGGAAAGAGGACGTGGGAAATGAAGATCAGCATGTTGGATATATAGATAGTGAGGCTCACACAACAACAGATCGAGTAAGAGTGGCCGTCTCAGCTGCATTAAAACAAAGTGTTCCTTCTCGACTGCTTCAATTCATTCAAATGAGCATGTTGGATATATACATGGTGAGGCTCACACAACAACAGCAACAGATCGAGCAAGAGTGGCCGTCTCAGCTTCAGTAAAACAAAGTGTTCCTTCTCAAATTCTTCAATTCATTCAAATGAGCGTGTTAGATATGTAGATGGTAAGGAACACACAGTAGAGGGAGCAGGAGTGGCCGGCTCAGCTTTATTGAAGTGAAGCTTCCTAATGAGGTTCTTGGATTGCAATTGCAAAATACAAGGTACATTGGAAGGAGTGAAGAAGGAACACTTTGTTTCATTGATAAAGTCATTCCTCCAGATTCCTCACAGAAGCAGTTGAACCCTGTGGTTAAGCTATGTAATTTAGTGTAATTCCCATACCGATATAGTAGCCTTGTAGCTAGAAGACATAGGTATAAATCAGCCCTTCTATAGCGCTACTCCTTCGGTTCATAGGTACTGTAAACAGTGGTATATGAATACGGAGGATGTCATGATAACGGAGGATAAGGGCATGGACTAACTACAATTTATCTCAGGAGCTCAGACCGGTTGTGTGGTGTGGCGGTGCTCGTCGCACTTGCCCCACCCTCTGATCCGGCCAATCAGAGGCTGTAGAGGGTAAACCGCAAACACTGGTTTGAGGCCATTCTGAACATTTTCGGGACTTTTGTCATGGAGGGATTGAATCGCATACGGGTATTGCATTATAAGGACTACCTAGGGCTCAAACCGACCATCAAATTGCGCGGGCATTGCGTTGCAAGGAGGGCATCGAGGCCGATTTAATACGGCCGTTGTTGAACTAGCCTTGAATCCCTCGTTAAATCGGCCTTGATGCCTAGGTTGAACTAGCCGAAACCGGGAGGACCTACAAGTACTTCTTCTGGGGTGGATCCACGCCACTCTGTGGCGTAGCCATCTATGACCTTCGGAAAACTGGCTGTGATCCAGAGATAAGGTAATAGGTTTGTTGGAGCGTAGACTACCTCAGCACATAAAAACCGGGGAAGATAAGACATTTTGGTCTTTCACAAAGAAACAACGGCAAAAACATACAACACCGGGGATTCCCCAGTCCTCACCGACCTGAGTACTAATCCGGCAACGAGAACAATTGTATCTGCATTAGCCAACATCCTAACATCTTAAGAATGTTAAGTTGTTATTGGTTAAATCCTTGATGAGTACGACAATTCAGTGGGGCCTCCTCTTTACTAAAGCGTACGTGTGAGCCAGAGATGATTCAGAGATAATTAACTGGCAACCAGCATGGCGAGAAGCACCAAATTCCACAGTTTCACCACGTATCTAAAGTGGTTCAAAATACTATATTTAACCTCACAGCTCAAGTATACACACCCACCGACCAAAACCCACCTCATCACCCACTCATCACCAAGTATCACGACTACCCACCCAAGCACCCAAGCACCGAACCTAACTCCAACCTACCCCCTTGCAAGCCGCCTCCTCTTCACCACCCCCCCAACCCCCTCCTCCCCATCCTCTCCCTCACCTCCATCCTCATCCTCCTCCTTACCAGTCTCACCACCCGCACCCGCATTCCCACCCAACACACTCGCCTGTCCCGTACTCGTCCCCGTCCCACCACCGCCACCACCAGCGATACCAGGTGTACCAGTACCAGGGCCAGAGGCACCAGGGGGCCCACCCCTCCTCACCTCCGCCGAGCGCAACTCACTCAACAACTTCTCCACCTCCACAAACATCGCACGCGCATCGTTCACCACCCCAAACTCATCCACCTTATACCCCAACACACCCCCACCATCACCAGCACCAGCCCCTCCACCAGCCCCACTACCCCCACCAATAGTATCAACCTCCTCGTCTTCATCTTCATCCCGTACAAACGCCGGTCCTGGACCGTGATGCGGATCGGGGTTGTACATGATAGCGTTGGAGAACATATGCGCCAGTTCGCGATCGAGTTGGGAGGAGTTGATGATACTGCGCGGGGGGACGAGGTCTTCGGTGCGGGGGAGCCAGACACTGCTTCCCGTGGAGGCGGAAGACGAAGAAGAGCCGCCGCCGTCGGTGGTGTTGTTGCTGTCAGAAGAGGGGTTTGAGGCAGCAGCGGCAGCGTGAGCGGCGTGAGCAGCACGGTTGCCGTGACTGATGGCGGCGCGGATGGATTTGAGGTCTTGAGCTTGCTTGACGACTTTGTGGTAGCCGGGGGCGTCGCGTTCGCGGATCGGGGCGGCGAACATGTTGGCAGAGCGGTGGTGGACGATTTGTTCCATGGCGGAGCCGCAGACTTTGTTGAAGGAGCGGGTCCAGAGGACGAGTTTGGGCGGGGAGGCGACCGGGGTTGGACCAGAAGCTGTGGAAGTGAGGAGATCGGAAGGGAGGGAATCGTTGCGGAGGTGCTGGCTTGCGCGTGGGGTGTGGCCCGGCGTGGGCGTGAGTTCTTCCCGCTTGCGCTTGGGTGCACGGGATGGGTGATGATGAGGGCGTGCGGAGACGCTTTCGTCGGCTGTGGTGTCCTCGGTATCGGCCAATGGCCGCGGAGTGGTAACCTCGTGTTTGACTTTCGGTGTCTCTGCCTCGGGCGCTGCTGGTTTGGCCCGGGCCGTGAACGGCTGCGATGCTGCTGCCCGTGGACCTGGTTGTGAGGTGGAGGCGCCTTGGGTCTTGTGCGGAGCATGAGGCCGTCCTGGCTTTTGCTTCGAGGGGCCGCTCGGGCTGGTTACTGGGGGCGGCAAGTGTCGCATGATCGGACTGGGCGGTTCAAACGCCGGGCTGGGGACGTCCTCGTATCCCAAGCGGAACTCGGCGCCCAGCTGAGGAGTTGAGGGTGTTGAGCCCGACACCCACTTGGTGCCGCTGCCCCGGGCCAATTTCGGTGGAATAGTCATGGCCGGGGTTTGGGGTGCGGACAGAGCTGGGCTGAACCTCGCAGCCGGCGTCGGCGTCGAGGCAGCGGGCAACCGGGGGTGGATGCGATCCACAGCCGCGGGTCGTGGGCCCTGGGGTTGGGGCTGATGTGGAGGATTGAAGCGTTGGCCCGCATCACCAGCAGCCAAAACCGGGGCCGGTGACGGACCACTACGTGGCGGAAGGCGTTGCTGGTCCTGCGGTGGTGGCTGGAGGACTGACGGAGGTTGCGGAGCAGCGAGACGTGGGCTCGGACTTGGCTTAGGTGGAACAGCAGCCGGACCGGTCGACGATGGTGCAACTGCGGGACTCCGTACCGGGCCTGGAGGTACTGTAGGAGGGCGTACTTGTGTCTTCGGGTGGGCAGGAGTCGCAGGACCAGTACCGGTTGCCGGGACCGGATGACCGGCATATTGCGGATGAGCATGGGGCGGAGCTGGCCCTGGCGTGTGGGGTGGTCTGGGACCTGCAGTCGAATCCGCAGACGGCCTCCCTGTTGGGGACTGCAACGGAGCAGCAAGCTGGCCGGCTGCTTGTGGGGGGATCAAGACATGCTGCGGAGGTAACGGCCGACCAGCCGGTGCTTGCGCTTGTGTCGGCCCAGAGGGTGGTTGTTGTGGTCGCGAACCTTGAGGGGGTGCCGGAAAGGCGTTCCCTTGCGGCAGAGGACCAGTCGGTTGATAAGGGGGTTCCCACTTCAGCTGCCCCTCAAGATGTGGTTGACCGTTCGCTGACACTCCGGTAGGTGGTCGTGGTCCCGCTCCGCTATCCGGCCGCTGCAGACTCTCAGAGACAGCAGCCGGAGGTTGAAATGGCGGCGCTCCCTGTGGTGCTTGAAGGACCTGAGGCGCACCGTTCGGAGGGTGTTGGGTCGGCTGGCCCGGGACCGGCCGCGGCGTAGGCACAGACTGTGGTGGCCGTGGAGAGCGGACAGCGTCCGGAAGAGCCGGGGGCGGCTTCTCGGGTGATGCCGTGGGTTGTGACGATGAAGGCACCCCCTTTGTATCTGGCCGCGCTTGTGGCGCCGCTGACTGTGGCTGCAAAGGCTGCAGCGGCCGCAATGGTTGCTGGGGCCCAGGCTGCGCAACCGCGGCCTGCGGCGGACGAGGTGACGCCCCCGGAGACGGACCAGTTCCGTTCGTTGCCCGTGCTGCTTCCTGCTTCGCAGGTCCCGAAATGCCATTCGGGCTCTGCGACCTCGATGCCGCCTGCGACTCCCGCACACCCAGCTTTTCCAGCTGGCCAATCTCACCCTGCACCTGGATAAACTGCTCCTCAAACTCCCGCACCTCTTCGATCGTATGGATCATGTACGCATTGTACAGCTTCGCGTGGGCCGTCTCGATGTCCTTGATGTGCCGGCGAGCGTCCTTCAATGTCAAAGGCGGCGAAGACTGTAGCTTCCGTTTCTTCGATGCGGGCGACGAAGCCCCTTCAGCCCCAGGTATTTTCTCACTCCTCTCGATCCTTTCGAGTCTTTCACTCTCGGCCTTCAGCTCCTCCCGCAGCAGACGCAGGAACAAGTCGCGCAGAGCGTCCGGGGCAAGGCGGCCCGCATCGTAGGTGCTCCCATGCTTAACCAGGCCATTGTTCTTCAGCTCGTCGGACAGGCGGGCAAAGTCGGCGTCTTCGAGGCCGTACTGGGTGATTCCGCGAAACAGGAGGAGTCTCTCGAGCGGCGTGTGAGGGGTCGCCGACGGGTTCATGCCCCAGAAACCGGGCCGCGGGGAACCGAGGGGACCGCCGCGGCTCTGAGGGGGATGGATTGGCGCCACGGTCTGTGAGGGGGGTGGGCGGACGGGAGGTTGTTGGGCTGGCGATTTTTTGATGGTTTAATTTCGCGATGCTTCGGGTCGCGCGCAGTCGATGATGGAATCGATGGAAATGCTGCGGTGCTTTTAATGCGCGTTGCTTTAACGCGTGGCACACATTCCGGCAGCCTATACTCCGCGCTGCTATTAATCGGAGGGAATGGGATGATATCGCCTGAGGAGATGGGATTCGACCGCGCGGGGGTCTCGTTCGTGACGTCTCGGTTTAGTCGCGGGTTGCGGGTGATGCGGAAAGTGTTGCTTGTCGGGTCTCGGTTTTCCAAATCGCCCCAAAAGTGACCCCAGTGCCGCGCACTTGGTGTCGCACGTGACGTCAGGCGCGCTCCAATCAGACTTTTAAGCCCATGCTTTTGGCAGCGGTCAAAGCTTTTTTCACTTGCCTTTTCGGACTTTCGGACGACTCGATGGGCCAGACTTTTGATCAATCCGCCGCCTAGCGCATCAAATGTCAAACCCAGGCAAGCAGAACGTCGAGGATACAACGGCGAAGCGTATGATGCCCGCAATTCAAGAGGGACCATGGGGAAATAGACGGGGTAAAGAGGGACAAGCAGAAAAGGCAGAAAACACTAGCAATTGTCAAATCCAACACAAGTTATCATTTTCATGATTGATTCCCCCAAGCGCGTGAGCCGAGCAGTGGTGAACAGATAGGATGATGGATTGTTGAAGCTTTGTTGGACATCTTCCCCGAAACCAGGGTTAGGGTTGATCAAGCCATTCTATCTCCGCCCAATCGGCCCAGCCTCCCAGCCCACGCAAACAAATTCACAAGCAGTTTCCTTTCTGGTCAGCACACCCCAAACTTTGAAAACCGGAGCGCCGCGTTCTCGGCGTTTTCAATTCACAACAAACACACTCCACGGGTACCCGCGCATGCAGGACCACAATGGGACACCATAACATTAAATTTTCGGGCGACCCGTACTCGGACAGCGGGGTCTGGGGCGCTTCCACTAGTCGCGCTAAGTGAGTTTAGCGATACAAGTCTCGAGTAATTACAAAACTCGAGATATCATTCATGCAGTGTTGCTAACCTCGGCTGCACAATAGTTTCTGCGAAGAAGACTACGCCGTGACGTTCTACCTCGCCGAGTTCATCAATGCACTCAGCAATTATGCTTACAGTATGTCCCCAAACCAATCACAACCCTCATGTCTATTAAATCGATCATCCAAAACATAGAAATATAATAATTACTAATTAATTCACACAACAGTCCATCTCGCCCTCCGCGCAATCTACCCCCCGCCCACGAAACCCCAACCTCTCCTCACCCGCCTCCTAAACCCCAAACCCGACTTTATGTCCCTCTCCCTCCTAATCCTCGGCATCGGCTCCTTTCTCTTCCACGCCACCCTCCGCCAAACCCTCGAATTCGTCGACGAGTTCTCCATGCTCGGCCTAACCTGGTCCATGCTCCAAGCCTCCCTCACCGCCCGGCAGTCCCCCACCCGCGCCCGCGCCATCAGTATCGCACTGGCCGTGGCCTATTTCTCCTTCTCGGCTTTCTACCTCTGGTCGGGGAAGATTATCTACCAGGTTTTTGCCTTCGTCGGTGCGTTGCTGGGGGTGTTGGCGCGCAGTCAGTGGACGTTTCATTTTATGCGGCCCGCGCTGCCGGAAATAGAGAGTCGGGATTGGAATTGGCGGACGTGGAAGGCGTTGGGGTGGTGTTTGGTTGGGTATGGGCTGTGGTCGGTGGATTTGGAGTTTTGTGCAGAGTTGAGGGCGGTGAAGGCCGCGTTGGGTCTGCCGTGGGCTTGGGGGTTGGAGTTACATGGGTGGTGGCATGTGTTGACGGCTGTTGGGGCTGCTCAGGCGATGCAGGTGGCGAGGGAGGTGAGGGAGTTTGGGGAGAGGGAGAGAGAGCGCGCTGCCAAGGATAAATAGAGGGCAAAACAGAAGAGAGGGATGGAGCTGGGACATAGGAGTGGGAAGGGGGTGAGAGGAGAGTAAGAGATCTAATGGTGCGGAGGTCGAGTGCTAGATCTGGCATGGCATTATAGAACCATAGACTGGCTTGTGGCAGTGGCCCCCTTTTCTGGTACCACAATCTTGCTAATAGACTTTGCCATACACAATACACATTCCTCAACATCTTCCATCTACGCCGTCCATCTACTCCGCTCCCCACGTGACATCCTCAATCGGAGCACTCCAGCTATACCCGGGATCGGTAGTGCTGCATGTAGACTGTCCATTGACCGTTTCACACGTCAAAGTGCTGTTAACAACGCTCGTCGAAATCCCACTAAACCGAACCCTATCTCCATTGTCAGTCCCATATCAGAACCCCAACCCGGTCTTACCGCTTAAGAAACAACAAGGCGAAAAAGATAAAGAAAGAAAAAGAAAAAAACTCACGGATGCTCCAAATCCAAATCCTTACACTCCCACTTCGCATCCACCACCAACCCCTTCGTCTCCCCGTCCCACTTAAACCGACACTCGTAAGGCCACAACGGCAATCCATTCCCACCGTCTGCCCCAATCTCACACGCCCACCACCCTTCCTCGTCACCAGCCTCCCCCTGATAGATTGGAATAGGGTACTGAAACCCGATATCCTGCGCCGCTAGGATCATCTCGAATGACACAGTCTCTTTTTCTTCTTCACTATCTCCGGTAGTGGTATTGGTAGTAACACTCTGAAAAGCACTAAACACCCACCCCGGCTCAAACAGCGAGGTCAGGGTACACCCATCGCCGCGGGAGGGTGGGATAGGGATAGAGTCGGTGAGGACGTAGGGTGGGAGGGTGGTGATGTTGGGGTGGATGTCGTCGCCGGCGGTGAGGGTGATGGTGGGCGGGTCGGAGACGCAGTAGGTGTTTGTTGTTTGATTCGTGGGGTCGGGGGAGGTGGTGCAGGTTAGGGGGAGGGTGGTGGAGGCTGAGGAGGTTAGTTGGATTCTGGGATTGTCAGTATCGTTTTTCTTTTGATTATTGTGGTTTCTTCTTTTCTTTTTCTTCTTTTCTTTTTCTTGTCTTTCTTTTTTCTTTCTTTGTAAAAGGGATACATACGGCCTCGCAGCATCCTCATCATCACAAAACCAAGTCTGCTCCAACCAAAACCCCTTCTCCACCGGATCAAACCCCGCCTTCGTCCCAATCGGATAGGCCCCCATGAACCCCGACTGAAACTCCGCCCCAGCACACGTCAAATGTGCCACACCCCCATCATCAAGCCCATTGCCCCCACCCCCGGGTATACAACTCGCTTGGTAGGCGATTGCCGGGTTGGTTATGAGCACGTTGAAGTTCTCGTAGGCTGCGGTGGAGTTGCCTACGGCTGGCTCGTCGGTGTAGTGGATGGTGGTGAGGGTCCAGGAGGGGGAGTTGGAGCGGGATGTGCAGCCGGGGGTGTTGTGGCCTGTTGGGCCGGCTGGGTAGGAGGGGGTGATGGAGATCGGGGCGGTTAGGGAGCCGCGGACGAGGAGGGGGGAGGTGTAGTTGAGGAGGGCGGAGGCGGTGCCTGTTGCTGTGAAGGTGAGGCTGGGGGGGGGGGGTTAATGTTCTAATTGTTTCTTGGGTGGAAAGGTTATTAGGGTTAGTTAATTGAGGGAATACTCACTTCTTCTCCCGATCATCACAGCTCCAGCTCTGCGTGAGCGAAAACACCGTCGGATCCTCTGTCGTGTCCACGGAGGCCTCCAGTGGATCGTTAGACGACGCTTCGCCATCGATGGAACACGCATTGACACCCGCTTCGGCCGTCTCACACACCAAGCTGGCCGTGTAATTGGTTGCACGGTTCCGCACGTCGAAGGAGACGGCGTTGTCGGTGTATGCCACATTGTCGAGCAGCCAGCTTGGAATGGAGAAGGACTGTGCAGTGCATCCGGGAGTTGGGGTGTCTTGTGCTGAGACAAGCACCGCGGCGAAGGCCGCTGCAAGAAGAAGACGCATGGTTAGGGTCAGGGTTGTGAGTAAGTACGGGCACTTTTCATCACATGAAGCTGTTTGGTAGACCCTGTGAGGGGAAACATAAGAAAAACACTTGAGGTGCGGGAGGCCATTAAGTATCAATTTACGGAACCCTTCTAGAACCCGGCCCCATCGGAATCAATATCATGCTCATATCCCCGGTGAGGAGTCGTGAGGCGAAACCGAGAAAGCCATATCTATCATCTGCAACTTACCCCTGATACCATCCCGCTTCAGTACACCTAATCACAAAATAAATCCATCCGGTGATACACAGCGTGGTGTTGGAATATACCCAGATGAAGTTCGAATATGTGGAGATTGATCCGCATCTCTCAGAAAAGTGAGAAAATGGCCGGACGCGAACTGCCGGCAGAACGGTCGCATGGGTTGATCGGAGAAATACGCTGAATCAACGGCCCGGGAGGACTCAGGCGTCGTGCAATTGGCCAATAGGGGGGCAGACGGGTAGTTTAAACGGGCGCTTGTTGTGTGTGCCGATTGCCGATGGGATGCAAGGGCTCATATTGGATTTATTTATATTTGGGGATTCGTGAAACGTGGGATCGTGGCCGGAATTGGAGAATTGGGGTGTCCAAGATGTTGAAGGCGCGGTTGAAGCGTGTTTGTGCCGGTAATGATACCACTGTAACACCATTCGGAAGATTCATGAATTTGTAACTTTTCACGCTAACCACCGTCACACCATGAAATCATACGATCTCAATGACTCTTTAAAAAAGTTCTTATCCAGCATATCATCATTCAAAGTCAAAACTCAGGATGTATACCCTAGATACACAGAATCATCCCCAGCTCGCAACCTCGCAACAACCAAGCGCCAGGTCCAAGAACCCTAACCCTAGGTTGTCCTCCTATTTTGAGATCTCTCTCCCTTAAGCCGACACAGAAATGCTAGCCGAGCCACTGCTCTGGTATCCCTCAGTGGCCATGATCATGTAGTTCCAGGTACCAAGCTTGAGGTTGCCCTGCTTGGACCACTCGTCAAAGTGCTTGCCGGTGTCAATGGTGCCGCCGACACGCTTCTCCTGGCGGACCGACCAGTACTGGTCGAAGGTCGAGGTGCCCTCGATCGACGGCTGGTTGACGCGGGTGGTCTTGTAAATGTCGTACACACCGCCGTCGTCCTCGATCGTGCCCAGCTTGGACGTGCCCGACGACGGGTTGTACGTGCCGTACGCCTCGACGATGTAGTACTCGACCAGGGGGTTGGTGGTCCAGCCGTAGAGGGCGAGGTCTGTTATTGTCAGTTAGAGACAGAGATATTTAGAGAGAGGAAAGGAGAGAGGGGGAGAACATACAGCTGTTGACATTGTAGTTGTCCCAAGTACCGTTGTAGGTGACCGACCGGGGCTCACCCGGATTCCAGCCCTTGCCGCCAACCCAGTTGTTGACGTTGTTCCACTGCACGCTGTACGAGCCGCCCGCGGTGTTCTCAAAGTTGACGCTGCCCTGGCCGTCGGTCCAGAACGAGTAGAAGAAGCCGTCGTGGGTGCCGGTGCCGGGCTGGATGCCGCGGCTCTTGATCTCCTTGTAAGCCTCGAGCGGGCTGGCCGAGGCCGGGTTGACCGCCACCGCCGCGACGGCTGCGAGAAGGGTCGTGAAAGAGACCATGGTGTTTGTTGTTGGTGGTGAGTTTGTTTTGGGAGAGCTGAGTCTTTGGTGTGGCTGCTGCTGTGTGAGAAAAGAACAAGATCGACTAACTCAGGCTTCCTCGGCCGTCTTTATACTTTTCCAATTTGCCCCTGAACCCTGGTCGTCCCCAGATCTTGCCATTTTACCCTGAATATCCTCGTTCCCTGCCCTGCGATTCTCACCAACGTCGTTGTCCACCTCAACCGCCTCATCCAACCCCATTGGCCATCCCCAGTCCAAAGAATACCAAGACCTGCACCCCGCGCATCCCATTGCCGTCGATACCACGTTGAAAACACCCGGTTAAGGTCCCAAGACTTTCAGATTAACGCCCGTTTTTATCCCCAGTTTTTACCGGACTACGCCAAGGTCTTGGTGTTTTCTATGTGAACCTCCCCTGAGCTTAGCCCCCCTCGGCCCCCGAGTCCAGAGTGCCTGCCCCCGTATTCTCCGGGATCAGCCGCGGCCGAGCGTTGCAGAAAACCCCCAGACCAAAAGCCGGCCGCCATGCCGGTTCTCAGGCACACAGGGTCGGACCGGCCGTGGTTGGTGTGGGTAGCCAAGCCGGCCAAGCCCCGGCCAAGACGTCCAAGACAACCAAAGCCGGCACCCGGACCAAACAAGAACGCCGAACACGCTGCGGCCAAGGTCAGCCAAGCACGCTCCGGCGTCTGGTTGCGCATTGAAGTACCGATGATCACTTCTCGGCGCTGCGGCCGCCCGGCTTTCTGCTGCCTTCTTTGGCCTCTTTTGGGAGTTTTTCATTCCTCATTCACCGTCGGAGTCGTCGATGACGCGCGCCCATTCGCCATCTCGCGCCATTTCCCCCAGTTTTTTTCTCCCCCTTCTCTTTTTTCCTTGTTATCGGTCACTCGTCGAGAGGCTATTCCTGCAAGAGCCGCCGGGCCGCTCGCTCCGTTGTCTCCGAACGTGGTTGATGAAAATAGGAAACCCCCTTCCAACAACCTCCTTCGAATATAACACCTCCAACAGGCAACGATCATCCCCTCCTCCTCTTTTCTTGCGCAATACCCCTTCCGCGACGTCCGCATCCTGCTCCTTTACGTACAGACGTCCCGGCCCAGACCCCTCAGACGGCCGGATCGAGTCCTGAAAGCCCGGTTCCCGTGTTTTCTTGCCATTCCCAGGAACCGGGACTTGACGGATCTTTTGTTCATCGATCGCCAGCATGAAGCCCCAAGACATGCAGCAATATCGCCGGGTGAAGTCGTGATCGACTGGAAATGACGGGCCGGGCGCGTGTCGCCGGATGTTTTGATTTTCTGGTGTTTCGGGTGTTGGAGGGTTTGGAGGGGACGGACGAAAATAGAATTGGATGGGTGTGTTGGGCGGTTGGGCATCTGGGTTGGAGAGGATGAGAACCTCGCGGGACGGGGGCATTGGGGGATGAGAGAGGAAGGGGGCGAGAGGAGGAAGCTGAAAGAAGCTTTTGCGTTCGTCTTGACCGGCGTGTTAGGGATGAGGAAGTGAGACCCGAATGCCCCTTTTCCAGAGCACATGACGGTCATCCACGAGGGAGTATACTCGGCCCCTAGTTTCCCTTGAAACACCAGGCATCGTGTTATTCTACCTACGGCCTACCACATTATACGTGAGTAAGCTAAGAGGTTACCAAACTGACTAATGAACGGCAAAAGCCCCGGGATAGCAGCTCGCACCATCTCAGACCCTTCCCCAGATCGGAAGATCCGTCAGAAGTGAAAAGCGTCGTCACTTGCCAAGTCTACCATAGTCGTACGTCGAGTCCGGGTAAACTAGGTACTGTGCAACATTCGGTATTTTTAGCCATCGATTGCCATCGGGTTTCGTATGCTCGGCTTACTTTGCACCTCGTACAGAGATACCCCGGTCTCTACCTAGGATAGTCCACGCATACCTACGTACCTGGGCATAGGGGCGAGAGGCTAGCGGGACTATCATGCCCGAGTGCATCCTATTCTCCCGCCTTCAATCTTTTTCCGTGCACTCAACCGTCTCGTCCCATCTAACCGCGGGGCAGGGTCACCATTCTTCTTAAGCAAGGGGAACCTCACACATCACCGGCAACACGTTGTCCATGACGGGGGGGGGCGACATTCCCATTCTTCCGGTCTCTTCGGGATGCCCAAAGCCGACATGTCGGAAGGTGCCCTCGCAGACTCGCAGCATCATCGCCACATCCAAGCAAAGTATGGTGTCAACTTTCCGAAAGGCCGGAAAGGAGCTGGAAAAGAAATTCCCGCGCAACCTCGAGGGGATTCCCCGTGCTGTTCTTCTCATCATAGTCTAACCCATTACCAATTGCTATTTAATTACTTGATTCTCTTGTTTTGCCCTATCAACAATCCACTGCCATTCCCCAGTCTCCAGCCATAGCCATCCCCTAGTCGGGTTGCTCCCGGAGGAATCACCAATTAGTCGTTTTATTGGCCACTTCCCACTTGCTCAACAGTCACTAACCCCACAACAACGGCCAAACCAGACCCTTATCATCAACATTCCCCAGGGGTCGGGGACTACGGCAGGAACCGCGGAGGTTGTCCTGGCTTGCGGGATACTTCGGGGATTGCGTCAGACCGTAGAGACGTGCCGGCGATGGGCGGCTGCGGGGCCAATAAAGCAGCCGCGACCAGCGTGACGTAAGAGATCACAACATAAAGCGGTAGCTATAACGAAGGAAGGAAGGAAGTAGAAGGCTCTAGAAAAGGAAATAGCTATGTAATCACGCAGTCCGCCAGGCCCCTCCTGTATCACACTCTGACGGACAATGTGGAATCCAATATACTATTCCTTCACAGACCTGAGCAGCTTGACAACAGCCTCATGGCCATTGCCGGCAGCGTATGATAGCGGCGTCCCGCCGCCGTCATCCT